TAAGGGGAGATGGCAGGAGAATGGAGTTGAGAAACATATCAGCCATTATTAAATAGCAGAGCAGACTTGATGGGCCAAATGGCCTAATTCTGCTCCTTTACCCTATTGTCTTATAAGCAAGTGCTAAGGGAGCAAGCAAGGGTTTCAGAGGTGCACCGTGGTTGGATCCGTGAGCCGGGTGTGTGTCTGAGCATGCAAAGTGTCCTTGCAGCAAGGTTATAATGAAAGGAGTGAGTGTGCTCCAGAGTGTAGCATTGAAGTGAATGGGAGATTTGGTATGCGGTTGCAGTGAAGCTGGTATGTATTTGTTGCCAAGATCCATGAGCGAGAGGTGTGGTCACTGCCACTGAGTGTACTCGTCTGTTGGAGCAAGTGGTGAGATGGAGTAACGAGGCAACCGTTCTGACTTCCATGCTGGGAATATTTTCTATACAGCAGTTGGTCAAAATAGAAACTGCATATTAATAAGGTTAGATCAGCTAATAATGAGACGTAATACATTCAAGTATATCTCTTGCCACTCACTTGACATACCATCCAAACATTTGGTTGGAAAATGGGCGCTTTTCCTCTCAACAGTGGGGACTTCTTCACTATCAATCTCCCACAAATTTTCCCAATGGCCGTATAGTTCAGGGGCTGGTGAGACATCGCCCCATGCTCTGTGACTTTATAAAGTGCCAGCAAAAGAAACGGCCAATTTCAGCGTGTGTACCTCATGGCCGAGGTCACATGACTATGGCACACCAGGAAGGACACTTGTATGTGATTACAAGTCAATCTGAAGAAAGTGCAAAACTGAAAACATTGACATTTTCAATAGTTAGAAAAGGAAATGCTGGTCATATTGAATGGTGACTTTGTATCAATATTTACAACAAAGGGAAAAGTCAGCATTCTAAACATCACAAGATATTAATCTTTAATCATGGACAGGGACTATTAGGGATGGTTCTAAATCCCCAGTACCAGGTGGTTTCCATCCTAGAGTTTTAAAGTGAGACAGAACATCGTACATGCCTGAACTGATCCATTGTGCATGCTTCGTGTTAGATTGGAAAGTTGTATGTGTCACATTGCTGTTTAAAGAAAGTAAACGAGTGAGTTAGAGTCATGATGCTGACATTTGTTGTCAGGATGTGCGAAAGTCGAACATTAAGGATTGAGTGACTAACATTGAGTAAGCAATGTTTTCAGCTGATCAGAGAGTCAGCGTGGATTTGTAAAGGCCTAGTCATACCTGACCAATCTGACTAAAACATTTTTGAAGGGGTGACCAAGATAGTGGCAGGACACTGTCTTTGGAGGTGGATTGTGTGGACTTCTGAAAGGCATTTGATAAAATCTCTCATCAAAAGGTAAAGTCTTACCAGACCATAGAACTGCTCTCTCATTAAGGAGAGGTGACTGGTAGTCAGTTTAACCTGAGGGTCACCATGCCTCAGGCGAGGGGAAAGGTTGAGAAGGAGAGTCCTTCATGGTAACCTCAGCCAGTATGGGAAATGAACCCACACTGTTGGCATCACTCTGCATCACAAACCAGCCTTCTAGCCAATTTGTCTAACTGACTAACTAGAGCAAACCCAGTCTCGACCAGCTGGTCCCAATAAGTACAGGTACAAAGGGATATGGCGCAGAAGGGGGTTATGTGGGTTATTTCTGAAGAAGGGTGCCAACCTGAAACGTCAGCTTTCCTGCTCCTCTGATGCTGCCTGGCCTGCTGTGTTCCTCCAGCTCCACACTGTGTTATCTCTGACTCCAGCATCGGCAGTTCTTACTATCTCTGAGTGGGTTATGTGGAGTTAGGTCATGGACAAGCCAAGATCTGATCAAATGGCAGAATGTTCTGGAAGGTGTAAAATGGTCAAATTCTGTTTCCATATTGCAAGAGCCCCTGGGGCTCTGGCCCGTTACACTTCGCCTTATGGTTACAAGATGAACAAGTCGAGAGTTTGAATCCCGACATTCAGTAAACCTCGCTGTTTGTGAACTGACTCTCGGAAAAGATTGGCTGAATATTTGGAGAAACCGAATGGATTTGTCAGCATCTGTCAGGAGAGGAACCTGATATTGTCACTGAATGTGATCTAATCTGTGACTCCAGTCTCCCACTGTGGGGCTAAGGACCCGCAATAAATCGCAGATATATTTCTGTCCCAGTGTTACTCAGATCCCAGGTACATAGGATGCTTGTGATACAGGCCAGTCATGTTGTGGTGAGGAGACAGATGGAGGGAATGTGCTGGTCTAGTCATACTGTGACCTAATCTTTACCCTGAGACCTGTGTCTGTCTCTGAGGGCTCCAGTCAGACAGGAAACCGTGATGGCGTGCTAGCAACTCAAGAGTAGCATTGGGCCCTGGTCCAATCTGTCCACGTACAAGGCAGTGTGGTGTCAGCCTAAAGGATTGACTGCAGGCTTTCGTCAGAGAGCTGGGGGAGTTCACCAACTTTCTCTGACTACACTCCTCAGTCCCATCCCTAAAACGAGCCGGTGGTGAATTTAACCTGAAGGTCACAGTGTCTCAGGCAAGGGGAGAGGTTGAGAAAGAGAGTCCTTCATTATATCCTCAGCTTGTGCCGAACTTGAACCCACTCTGCTGGCGTTGCTCTGCATCACAAAGCAGACATCCAGCCAACTGAGGTAACTGAAAAGCTGGATCAGACTCAGACTTACTGTCCTGTCCCAACCCATCCTACTGCTGGACCTATCCCCCCATTCCCCAGATCTGACACTCAAACCCCTGCCCCTCCATCCACCTCCTGCCCGATCTGATTTTTTCCATCCACCCTGACCCAATCTAAACACTTCACCATCTACCTTCTTCCCCTTCCTACCCCCTTCCATTGCACCTTACCCACTTGGCACCTTAGACCTACCAGCGTGGCATCCTCTGTCTGAAATGTCCTCTTGGAAACACGGGGCTCCCTTCCCTTGGGAAGAACAGTGCCAGTGCGACAATCTGAATGGGATTGACACTCTCTGGAAAATCTGGCTGTATCCTCACTCCTGGATTAGACAGCGGGATCAAATGTCATGGATCCGATCTGCCTTTGATACAAAGCTAGATAACATTGTACACGGTGTAGGTGGAAGAATCAAATAAACAAAGCAGCAGTGAATGGATTTATTTAATACATTGTCACTTGTACCTAGGTACAGTGAAAAATGGATAAAGTCACTATGTTCCAATGCCATCTTGGATTACAGAATAATATACCAAATGAATTGTATTAGTGGAAAAATACTGATTAAATTAACATTAAATTGATATTCCTGAAACTGAGTCAGCTTCAAAAGTTTAATGTTCCCTCTCCATGGCCTACACCCTCTCTGTCCCCATTAGGTTACTGCTATCCGACATTGTCCCTGGGATCCTGGCAATCTGCTCCTTTTCTCCCGTCACCTCCGCTGTCGTTTTCCCGTCCAGCTCCCCCTGAGCTGCGCTGACCCTCACCTCCTCCCATGTTGGACATTGACCAATGGGATCCTGGCTCATCTTCCGATGCCACCGCCCGCAGATGGAGCGGGCCTGGAGATACACAGGACCACAGCTTCCCATGGGAGGGCATCAGGAGAAGGCCCCAGGGGAAACCGAAACCAAAACAAAAACGGGACTGAACTAATGAAGCCGTGTGGATGTGGCAGAACCTGCTGCGTGAGGGGGCCGAGACACCCTGGTCAGGAGACGACCCTGCCGTCTCCCCGACAACCCTATCCCTCCCTGGGCCACACCGTAGCATATTTTGCCCCCACACCCTGTGCCCTCTCGGGAAATATCTCATTGTGAGGTCAATCCCTGTGGATCTAAAATGGAAAGGGCACATTGTTGAAACTATTTTTAAATTTACTTTTGAAATGGTGAAATGTTAGTCAGAGTCCAAAGGGATGTCTGGGTCTAATTGGATGATATAATCTGACCTATCGATTTATTAATAATAATGCATTAAATTCACGTGATTTATTTTAACATAAATTATACAAATGTCATGAAGGCATACTTTTCATTATTCATTTGCACAATGCAGCCGTCACTGGGTAGGCCAACATTTATAGCCCATCCCTAATTGCCCAGAGGGCAGTTCAAAGTCAACCACATTGCTGTGGGTCTGGAGTCACATGTAGGTCAGATCAGGTAAAGATGGCAGTTCCCTTCCCTAAAGGACATTAGTGAGTTTTTCCTGACAATCCACAATGGACTCATGGCCATCATTAAACTCTTAATTCCAGATTTTTATTTAATTCGAACCTAGGACCCCAGGACATTACCTGGGTGGCTGGATCGACAGTCGAGTGATAATACCCTTCTGACAGAGAATTATCAAAAAGCTGATGGAGCCAAATGAAACGCTGTCTCTTATCAAGAGGATTAACAGACAAGAGGTAGGGATAACACAGTATGGAGCTGGAGGAGCACAGCGGGCCAAGCAGCATCAGAGGATCGGGAAAGCTGACATTTTGGGTCACAAAAGGAAGGGTCTCGACCCGAAACGTCAACTTTCCTGCTCCTCTGATGCTGCCTGGCCTGCTGTATTCCTCCAGCTCCACATTGTGTTATCTCTGACTCCAGCATCAGCAGTTCTTACTATCTCTAAGAGGTAGGGGCCTTGCCAAAGCTCCACAAAATCCTGGTTAGACCACCCCTGGAGTCACTAGGAGCAGTTTTGGGCCCCACCAGAACAATACTGGCTCTTCATGGGTCAAATGATGAGGATAAAACACTTTGATTGGGATTGAGAGATGGTAAGAACTGCCGATGCTGGAGTCAGAGATAACACACTCTCCCTCAGTGTCACACTGCCTCAGTCTCACTCTCCCTCAGTGTCACACTTCCTCAGTCTCACACTCCCTCACTTCACATTCCCTCACTTCCCCCACTCTCTCAGTGTCATT